AATGCGGTCTTGATCGTCGTTTATATAGGAGGAGTCATTTTAATTAATCAAGTCTAATAAACATGAAAACTAAAAAGAAACAGAAGAAAAAACGATAAAATCCAATGAAAAAGCAAGCCAGTCAAGGAAAAATATCGCGTCCTATCGATTGGTGGGAGGCGGGGTGAGAACGGTAATTGCAGTGACATTTGCCGCATGCCGCAAGGGAGAATGCCGCGATAGGGGAGAAGTTCCGTTACCCGAGTTAGAACGTATGCGTTGGTAGCAGCCGTATGCGTTTCGCCCGCGCTTGTCAACGGCATTGTTGGTCATTTTATCTTTTGATAGCGAGTTGTATCTTGCTTTCTTACAGTAGTGGCTAATTCTTGACATCATAACCAGTCCCATATAAAAGCACACTCCCAAGTATTGCATCACTTCTTGTTCATCGGTTCCCCTAGACTTGGCTGACTTGATGGCTCCGTACCGATTGGTTTTCCGCACAACAAAAACAAGCAACTCGTTGTTCAGAAAAATGCGAAAGAAGTCGAAAAGTTAGCTGCAGGTAGTGTCATCGATCCCTACAATAACATATTCCTTCTCGAATAAGAATTGAGAAGGATTCCTCCTCATTCTTCCTGTCCTCATCAAAAGCACGTCCCTCTGGTACGTCATCGTCCGATTCTTCTGCATCAACACTGACAGCGAGGACACTATCGTAATCCGCTGCAGACCTTTCCAGCTCCTCGTCACTATCGAGCAATAAAGCGTTGAATCTCCGGTGAGGTCCGTCATCGTTCATAGTTGGCGCATTGCTGGGATGGTGGTAGCCCATGTTGACTGCCACGGCCGGTGCGGAAAAAAGCGGAAAAGGCACCCGTCCGGTTAACGCATTCGTGGAAACTGCGCTCTTTGCGAATGTGTTAAACACACATGGGTAGATTAGGACACCGCTAATGTCGGAAGAAGAGCTCAAGAGATATATCGTGCGTGTGTATGGATATACTTCTGATGCATAACCTCTGTTTTTCTGTACCGTAGTGTGCAAACTGAGACGAAAGTGGGCGGCATGGCAATTTTCCAGTGGAAGGAGGGGTAGGCTTAGCTTTGTCATCACTGGTTTTATGATAGATGGGGACTAAATACTTTTTACCTATTTACCGATTCTCTCATTTCACGTCGTTTGTTTTCGGCAGTGAATTTTCCGCGAGTGACGCATGACGAAAAACTTTGCAGTAATAGGTGTCTACTTTTTCTCGTTCCCTTTCTACATCGACCCTTCACACGCCTATGTAATTCTGAAGAGAAGGAGTATTCTATCAACAGCAAAGTAGAGGAGTAATTTGAAATTCCAACGATTACTTTTGAGGGACCGGTCGGATCATCCTGCAAAAATCAGAGTCTTCTTCTCGTGCCAAGTTTGTCTGTCGCCCACGTCCCCTCCGAATTTGGATTCTCTGGTACGTTTGAACAGAGGTAACATTTTCTCCCCAAACGCGTATACACATACATATACACAACACAAGTCCTGAACGCCTCACCCGTCATGAGCGGAGTACTGCTCAACTCGTGTGTGCTTAAGAACCTTCGGTCGTTCCCCTCTCTATTCTACTTGATCACGAGACCACGCTCATTCTAGCACGCTCCGCCCCCCCCCCCCCACATCGCCTTATGCCTTTCGAACTCTGACACCGACCACCTCGTCGTAAGTAGGCGGGGTCCAGTTCTGCCAAGGCCAGAAGTTTTTCGTACCGAGCCGCGAGCACTTATGAAAAGTGCGACGAAGAGTGGTGTTTTACCCGGAATACTGAAGCAGTTTAGAAAGCAGATAGCTGCCAAGCTATTAATCTATGTAGCCTCGTAGTCATTCGTGATTGATTGTCTTGTATGAGGGGCTTATTTGTCTACTTCCTTAGCTCCTGAATGTTTTGTAATGATGTTTTAATTGAGTTGCGTGTACCCTTTTTCGAGTTTTCTTTTCTGCAGAAATGCCATCAGCTTTGTTTTCTTACGTCCGCCTTATGCGCCGTAATAAACATAACATACATAACATAACACTAGTGTTCCCATCCTGTCGCCTGTACTTCTAGCAATTTCATATGCCATAGGTCCACAGGAATAGGAACAGGAACTCTACGATCAAACACAAACACAGGCACATCCGACACGCACATACTCAGCGCGTTATATATAGTAGGAGATCAGGTTCTAGGATTAGTTTTTCGAATTGCTATCATGCGGTGTGTAGACACACCACTAGCAAACTGAAAGACTGCAGACAAGCGTAAAGATTCATACCAAAATCTAGGGAAATCCATGAAATGATGTTTTTGTTTGAGGGCACAGTTCACAATAAAAATTGTTTTTGAGTAATTTCCTTCCGATGAGTCTGCGGCGTCCCTCTTTACTAGTGCTGCGGTGTCGATCAGTAAACGGCCTCGACAGTTCGGTATAAGGGCCGAGGTTGTATCGCCGTAATGTCGATACAGCCTCTTCCCTTATACCGCCCTATCGAGGCCGTTTACAATTAGTGGGAGAGTTTCAACAGCGTTATATAGGCTGTACAATTAAGTCATTCAGGTCTTTACGTTATGAATTTCGCCCACATACCTCCCTTAGCCACTTCGATCATGGTGATCTCGCACAACCTCTATTATCACAACATTAAGAAGCCTTAATTTTCACGGACTCGACAAATCTCTTGCTCTCTTTGCCATCGGTGACTGTACACGACCAGCGCTTCCGCTCTTCGACTGATAAGATGTACCCCAAAAATATTTTGAGCTGTGCCTTCAGGAACAGTACGATGCAACCATGACCAGAAGGGCATCCTACGCCAGTATGGCTACTAGTGGAGCGAATTGGATAGTACAGATAACTAAAGAGGCGCTTTCGGGTGTTTTGCATTTCGTGAAAAATCGTTCATACTTTGTTAACTGCTTCGGCGAACCCCAATATTATCTACATAGAAACAAATTGACTCCGGATCATGAAATAGGAACAATCTCTACGAAATATCTCTCGTTACGACTAGTTCGTGTGAGGTCTCTCCAGCGATGGCTTTAATCTAAATTCAGTGCCAGTAACCCACCAGTTTCCAGTGTCAATTCGATAGCATCAGAAGTTCCCAGGAAGCTTCCAATTTTTGGAGTAACACTTACACGCAACTTTGAAGCTATGGCACCAAGTGCCCCGCTGTCGAGCGCCTAAGAAAGCTCTATTACCGCTAAATAAATTTTTTTGATCGTTAATCACCCACATAAGTTTGAGTTGCAGACACTTTTGGTTTGTGAGTTATTGTGGAATAAATTTTCCATGATCTTTGCCATATTTCGACTCTGAATTAAAGTTTTCAATTGTAAACTGTGATAAGACGAGATTGTCAAGCTGAACTCAAACAGACTTTATTTCGTATTCCAGTTCCTTCTCTTCAAATGATCGCGCTCCTTTTGTTTTCCACCTGAGAGTTACTTTTCTGGCATCTTTCTCAGAACTTTCAATGCGTTCGAGATCAACCACTGTTAATTCCTCTATCGCTTCAATAACCTTTTCTGAAAAACCTTTCTTATAGATGTTTATGAGTGAAATATTCTTGTGTCATGCGAGCTTGTTAGGTGGAAAAATTTATTAATTCAAAGGCCTAACGTTTCGACGCTATCGTCTTCTTCAGAGACCTAAAGCAACACGAGATGATTCGCACAGTATCTAGAAAGCGCATCTCCCCATTTGGCAAATGTAGTAACAAATTCAAAAGTACAATTCGGATCTTAACTCATCAGGTTCCCACCGCTCAAGCGAGTGTAAATCCGCTGTCGCCACTGGCGACGTGAGAACCTTTGCTCTACTGGGAATTTTTTAAGCGAGGCATATAGTTGACTACTTACCTTTTATAAAATCCTTATTCTCCTCGCCGCCGCAGGCCCCACCCTTCAAGCGAGATGACTTAATTATTTTGACGCGTGAATCGCAGCACATCTCATTCGACCCCCTTGCATAAACACGAGCAACGGTACAGAGCAGAAGGCATCAAAGAGCATATTCCGAAATCTGCAGAATTTCTGCAGACAATATATTTCACCCAGTTGGGCTATGCAAGCCCACGCCTCCTCTGCCCACCTCTGTCGAATGTCGGCTCAAATGAGGGATTTGACCCCTCTATTAGCTCTGGCCATTTTTTCCGCGTTTGAAAAGTTTCGAACAGAGGAATGTTTTTTTTTGACTTAGTCCAATCCACCAAGTAAAACCCCACACGCTTCACGGGTTTGATCATACTTCTTCTTCTGACTCTGACCACATTCTAAAACGTTTCCAAAACCCAATTCAGGACTTGGCCAACATTCTTCTACTTACTCTGACCACTTTCCCCTGAATTTTATAACGCTTTTGAAAGGAGTCATGAATTTTCAATCATAGCTCTCCCCCCCCCCCCCCCCCCCCCAGGGACTTGACCACAGACCTATAGCCTCTAACCACATTATTCCCGCGTTCTAGAGTGTCATCGAACAGTGTTATGAATTTTCGTTTTTAGAGCCTTCCATATCTTCGAGTTTTCTAATATAGGAGGTTTTTTACCCGACTTATGTTTTGTTGAAGGACCTAACCTTTGGATGCCGTCCCGCCTACTGTGAGCGGAGCTTCTGCATGTCTGGATGTGCCTTGCGCGTATGGCCTTACTCACTTTGTTTGTTTTTTTCTGGCTTTCACGCTTCTGGCGAATTGAGTTACGATGTTATGTGCTTAGTGCAGCCCACTCCGAGAACGCCACGCCCATCGCCGGTGGACCCACTTCAGTTCATTTGTTGACCCATCCAACCGCTTCGTCCATTTTTTCACGGTGTCCGCGCTGCTATAAAACCTAACTCAGACATATTGTCCAAGACGCCGCCCTTTGTCGTGCATGCAGCGTTCCCTGTGCACGGAGCTCCGCTGAGCGCTCATATGCGCTCTTTTAACATTGTCCTACGCCAAACCCACCCCGAACTCGACCCGACTTTTCAGGTGCTTCTTCAGGTGGTATCGAATTACCGTACAAACAAACAGATAGACGCAAGCGCTTTAGGTAGAGATTTTAGTGAAAACTTAACGCATGACCTTATTAGAGTGCACAAATTTCCACCCGCCACATATGGGGCGCATGGAAAAGGGTCTTAGGATAAGAACATGGGGCGGGTGGAGGGGGTAGCCAGGAGGTAATGGTGTAAACTTGGAAACGACGAGCAAACTATGCTGCACCCTAATGAAAGGAGTGTGTCTGGTTATTCATAACGTAAGTAATGGTAACGCATAACCAAGACCGCTGTGAAGGTGTCGGAAGATGTTGTTTGATGCCTTCTGCTCGAAGCACTCGTCCATGAATACTGGCACTGACGCTGAAAATCGCCGAGTCATGTGTTTGGCCTACACTGTGACACTTTTTGTCGAGGCCGATACAGTAAAGGTGTTCATTTGAAGAGCTGAGATCAGATGCGAGCACGTGGAATACAAGCCTGACTCAACTTACTTTGCTCTGAACGGTCAAATATACCATGATCTTCGGTGAAATTCACTGCGACTTCAACATTCAGCTCTTGCCTTTCGTTCCCAACTTTATAATCCAATGACCCCGTCTGGAAATAATATCTTCATGGAGTTCTCTCTCAATGAAGGATCCCCAGCCGGTTCGTGACGAGGCTACGTAGAGCATCTCCAGGTTGCGGATAGGGGAACTAATTGCCTGTCAAAAGCCACTGGTACTCGCCCAGAGGTGCAGATTCTAGTTTCTGGTTCTAGAGGATGGACTCCTTGTTTCTGCTGTGCTGGGTCGATATACCATCTGTTTCTCGCAGGCGTATCCGTATCCGTATCCTGTCGGAATGCAAAGTACTCTCTTCGTGGAAAACTAGCAAGACGACATCCAGACGATATTGGCAATTACTACCCAATCTGCCTGCTTTCTGTAATCTGCAAGCTTTTCACTCGTGACATTCTGAACAGGGCTGGCAGAATATCAGATGAAGGACAGCCATGCGAGCAAGAAGGGTTTTGGAGAAGGCTCAGTACAATCGATCATATACATACTCTCACAAGACTTATTGAAGTATCACGAGAGTGCAAAATGCCACTGTGTCTCACGTTCGTCGATTTGAAGAAAGTCTTCGACACCGTTGAGACAAAGCGGTAATTGAAGCTCTGAGCAATCAGGGGGTTCCTACTTAATACATAAAAATGCTTCGTGAGCTGTACGACAACTTCACGGCCAGGATTCCACCATTCTAAAAGGAAGTAGTTATCAACGTGAAGAAAGGTGTTCAGCAAGGCGATACTATTTCACCCAAACTTCTCAGTGCCGCTCTCGAGAATATCATGGGTCATTTGGAATGGGAAGTCTAGGAAGAGAAGGTCGACGGCGGCTACCTACACTACGTCTGCTTTGCAGACGATATCGTGCTTATAACACCGAACATCGAACAGGCGGAACGAATGCTTGCCGAGTTTGACGTGCTTGCGGAAGGATCGGCTTGGACTGAACTTAACAAAGACGATGGTCATGAAAAACGGATTGGTACCAGATGCTCCCTTCACGCTAAACGGAAAGAAAATCTCCGGATGCTCTAGCTGTGTGTATCTAGGTCGGGAAGTCAACATGATGAACGACCTAGCTCCAGAGCTGTGCAGAAGGAAATGCGCCGCTTGAGGAGCATTTAAGTATATCGAGGGAGCAGTGAAGAAGACAAAGAACATCCGGCTCCGCGCTCACCCTCTCGGCACTGCTGTCCTTAATGCTTCAACGTGCGCCTCGGATACCTGCACTCTACGAAAGCAGGATGAACATGCTGTCAGCGTTACTCAACGCGCTTTGGAAAGGACGTTGCTCGGAATTTCTCTATACACGCAAGTGCACAAGGAAATCCGAAGTTCCGAGCTCCGTCATCGAACGAAGATCGTTGATTACGCCTAGGAATCGACGATCAGGTGGGCCGGACACGTTATGCGATATAGTGATGACCACTGGACTAAAACGGCTACTGACTGGATCTCTAGAGATATCAAACGAACTCCAGGGCGGCCGCCAACGAGATGGTCAGACTTCTTCACGAAAGCTCCGAACGATAGAATGTTGGACCTCGTGCCCCTGAAGCGAGGACGATTCACTGGACCACTCTGTCTCGTGACAGAGACGAATGGAGACGTTACTGGCGCCCGCTCAAGGAAAGCGATGATCAACGGGACGACAGGTGATACAGGTGATGGAACTCTCTAATTGCTTGCTGCAATGACACAAAGTTCGTAGAAATATCGTGAAAAGCTGTGGTAAGCAGACCTATTCTCGTTTTGCACATTCTGAATCAGGCAACTCTGTAGTAAGATATGCACGCAACTGGACCTAATAAGAACGATGTTCGTGAATAGAAGCAGTTCATGATGCTTTCTTTTCTCGCTATTTGTCAAACATCTTTGAAAGTCCAGCAATGCGTATCGGGTTGGAAAATTGACGTGATGAAGGATTTCCCTCCCGAGGTGAGCAGAACCAAGCAGACTTCACACAGAGCACTTGAGATTGTCGACAGAAAAGATTATACTGCGAAGAACATCCGGCTGCGCGCGTGCTTCCTCGATACTGCAGCCCTTGCTGCTATAGATGACATCTCAAACTTAATTTATGTAGGATATCGGAAGGAGTCCCTCTTCAAAGCTTCAAACGAAGATAATAGAAGCTGTCGTTTATCCCAAGGGCATGAACGAAACCGCAAACAGCGAGGCGGACCTACTACGTCATGCGCTTTCAGAGGTGTAACACCGGACCGAGACAGCCACAAATCGCTCTACAACGGGACTTAAAACCTCACGGGACGACCACCAAAGAAAGATCCCTGAAACTGGAGTTCTCACGGAGGACTTGAACGAAAAGAATAATGTGCTCCGAACCCTTGAGGGAAGTACCTTCTGAACTGCTACTCGGTTGACCGACGCCCCACGACATAGACCGATTAGGACATTACTTAATCATGAGACCACACAAGTTGATACGTTACTTAGCTAAGCCGAATCACGGGAACGTAAAGGTTGGGTAATATGGGCCGGAAGGATGTGTGTCGACTTTAAAAATGTCTTGTATCGAATAACCTATCAGAGACACGATAAGGACATTAGATGGAACTCATCGAATTAACAAGAAATCACAAATATGAGAGAATGATGCCAAACTAGAAAGATTTTCTGAATGTGCACGCTAAACAATTGCAACAGGTTCCTTGGGTACGCCTACAAACAGTTGTCTTTGAAATGATAGGTACTGCATAGAGTGTAGTACTTTTCTGTCGCTCTAGTTAGCTTAAGTCATTATGAATGAGCATTTTCGAAGCGCACAAAATAAACAGATAATTCACCAACCGTTTTGTTACCAGATTCGAGCTCTTTGTATTTTCCTATACCATCGAAGATGCCGACCGAAATTCTGAATGCGTCTTGTACAGGATGGGTCATAATCATGAATGCTTATTCATTGCTAAGTGTTTTGCGCTTCAAAGCTGAGAACGACAATTAAATCTATATACATATTTGCTTATACAATGTGCAACAACAAGCTTCAATCAAACTCCAAAGCATCCTCCATGAGCACCGATTCAGCCTTGACGTTTGTGTCCGAACTACTCGCATGCTCCGCGCAGTTGTCCATCCTCTATTTTTCCACAGCAGATCATCAGTTTTGGAAACATTGCAGTTAGTGATCATACGGAGATGCAAGTTGGTTAAGATCCGGCGAGTAGTTTGGTTGTACCCTGTTGCTCATGTGACGATGACTCGTGTCAGCATCACTCTTGAGTATGTGGACTGGAATACTCTCTGCTGGGAGCAGGTTTCAAAAAGGCAATCAGATCCTGGCTCCAGTAGCTGATGAGTATGTTTTTCAAGCACATGTCAATGCCTATTTCCAGGATGATACCTATGAAAGGCGTCTAAATAGTGCACGTTACTCCCTTACCGATCAGTCTCTACTATTTCGAGAAAAATCGCTTCTGTAGAAGGAAGAACTTTCATTGTTTCTTTCTCGTCAAACAAAACGATGAAAGAATTCGTGTCCCCACTGAAGGAGGACAGCAACCTTCTGCAACTTCAATTTTTTTTACCTATGCTGGTCATTGGCATCGGAATAAAGGAGGCATTTTCACATGGGCAAGAACGCTTTCTTCAACAGTCCGTTCCATTGACGACCACAATAGAGCCAGCTGCGCTGCACTTTTTTTGGAACACGTGGGATCAAGATCGACTCGCAAAGGGACAACTTCAGTAGTCCGAGTTGCACTGGTAGCCTTCACCACCTTGAAGATAACAGTGATATTGCCCTGATAAACATGTGGATTGCAAGAAATCCGGTGTGTGCAATTAGTCAGTAGCGAGCTGAGTAAAATTAATAAATTACTTCCACCTAGGGCGTTAATGAATTTGGCACCTGCCCGAAAATGGGAATTAGTCTAGAGGGTGTTCAATTGGAATGATATTTCAAACCCTATGTAAAAACTGTGCAAGAGACTAATTACCAAGGTTCCTTAAAGTTACTCGTACGAGGGCGATACCACTAGATTCACTTTTAGATTTGTTTGGATACATAAATACCAGTTGGCTCCGCACACTATCACGCGCCCAAAATAGTGATTTAAGCGAAGCTCTACAGCCTGTACTCCAGACCATGAGCTGGGCATTCCACAGTCATCTCATTATCGAATGCGTTGACCGCATGAGCCATTCTACATACATTGACCATTTCACTAACATTCTTACCCTATGTACGCGATGGCATGTGGGGCATCTGGTTGTAAAACGCCTCAGATAGTGATTTGGTCTTCTCTCACTTACAGGACTCGATTTGCCTACAGTTTCCAGACTGAATGCATCTTTTTCCCGTTCTCCAGGAATTCGTGGGACCGAGTTGTAATGTTTCGTGGATAACTATGCCTACATTTGTGCATGCCCCGCCCATCGATGATGGTTGACTCAATTTTTCTTTGCTGACCTCTATCCACTTTTTCCTGGTCTCCAGGACATCTTGGAACCAACTTATGAATTTTCGTCACAAACTCTGCCCACATTGGTGCACGCCTCACCCGCCCGTGGTCGTTGACCACTCCGCCGTTGCCCAACCTTAAACACTTTTCTCCCGATGCCCAGGGCTTCGTTCAACCAACGTATGAATTTTCGCCGCAAACTCTGTCCACATTGATGCACGCCTCACCCGCCCATGGTCGTTGACCACTCCGCCGTTGCCCACCCTAAACACTTTTCTCCCGATCCCCAGGGCTTCGTGTAACCAAGTTGCGAATTTTCGTAGCGAACTCCGCCCACACTGGTGCGCGTACCACCAACCCGTAGTTGTTGACCTCCCAGCCGTTGTAGGTTTCTGACCACTTTTTTTCCGGCCTCCAGGACTTCATGGAACCCAGTTATAATTTGCTAGCAAAGTCCACCCCCTTTTGTACCGGCCGCACCCACCGTTGGCAGTTAGCCTCCCCTTCTCCGACTTCTATCCACCTTTTTCCAGCTTTTCATGGCTTCTGAGAGCTGAATTATGCTGACTTGTAAGAAACGATGTGAGCTTGGAAGCACGCTCCGCCCATTGCGGGGCGAGCCTCCAAGCTCACATCGTTTCTTACAAGTCTGGTCCCGCTACCCACCATAAGTTTTCCCATCATGCCGCCTGTACTCCTACCAAATTTGAACTCTCTAGGTCCATGGGAACCGAAGTTATGAATTTTCGCATGTATAAATGTAAGAAGGGGTGTGAGCTTCGAAGTACACTCCGCCCATTGCGGACGGGCCTCCGCTGACGACATTTATGTTGGAGACATCTTCGACAATGCTTCCTCTACATCAACATTCTCCTGCTTTGTTCTCTTTCTCTAAACCGAGTTATAAATGTTTTCATAAAGCATTGCATTCTTGGAGAACGCTCGTCCATCGAGAGTGGGTCTCCCTCGTTCGATCTAACTTACCAATGCACACCGCTAGCCACCTTTACACCACAATTTTGAAGCCGTCTTGTGGCTGAATTTGGAATCATGGCCCTCATTACAGNAGAGGGTGTTCAATTGGAATGATATTTCAAACCCTATGCAAAAACTGTGCAAGAGACTAATTACCAAAGTTCCTTAAAGTTACTCGTACGAGGGCGATACCACTAGNGGGGGGGGGGCTACGCCAAGCTGATGTGTTCTTTATACTTATCGGGACATGTTCCACTCATCCCACGCTTGGCCCGGTCTCTCCAGGCAGATCTAAATGAGGTAAGGAATTTCGTGACGGACATACATTACGACAGGCGACAGACGACAGAACGACAGACGAAACGCTTTACGGTAATTGGGATGGTGATAAAGAGAATATTCGATCTCCTTAACAATGAACAGCTTCGCTAACCTTATACCCGAGATGTTTGCCGGAAGATCGTCCATACTCCATTTTATAACCAAATGGCGAGGCCTTTGCTCAACGACATCCACCGTCAACTTTGGTTTCAGTTGTTGACCTGGAATCGCATGAAAGATCGCAATTTTCTCCCATCTGCGTTCTGTAAGTAACGTTTTCTCCGCTCGATGCTCACTTAGAATCGGGACCACTTCGATCGCTGTTGTCCATTTATGAACATCATATTTTGTTGACCGTTTCACGTAACAAAAGAACAACGTGGGCTTATTAGTGTAGCTTTCATCTAGGAAAACTTCAATGGTCCTCAATTCTGGGATCTCTGTGCCGTTGTGGAATTTCCTTGGGCGTGTGAGCGGCTTCTCCTGAAAGCCAAAAAAAAATGAACATCCCTTATAGCATTCTTTTAAGAGTGTGGTTTGCGATTACCGAAATATGTATTAAACGAAAGGTACGAATGTGCGTTAATCATCTCAATAGCAGCATAGCATCGAAAAAACAGTCCAAAGAATACAGTATAGGCCGCTTCCATAGTCATAGTGCCGGCGTGCAGCTGAGGTAGTGCTAGGAGGAGGGAGGGAGGCAGACGGGCGGTCGACGCGGTTGCGTCGCGCCCAAGCCTCTTCGAAGGGCAAACGCAAATGGTTTTTGATCTCGTTTTTCCTTGTTTTCAGCCCTTCGGAGGGACTTGGACGCAACGCGACCGCGTCGACCGCCCGTCTGCCTCCCTCCACCTCCTCGCACTACCTCGACCGGCGAACTATCAGAGCAGACAGAGTTTGGAGCTAATTCAATCCAATTCTAGGATGCCTGCCTCCCACCGTGAATGCGGCCTGCCCGACCGCCATTTAACCCACTTCGAAGGGATGAAGGGTTTGGTTGACGTGGACAGTTATCGATCTGAGATTCGGTCCCGAGGGGAGCGTCCATTGAAAGTAGGTTGTCCCGCCCACTTCGCGCGCGGCGCACCCCACTGCGGTTTCGAAATGACGTTACATTATGGCTAATGGTGTCAGTGGGGCGAACGATTTGCACTAGTCCGCGTCGGGTATGTGTACGAATGTGCGTCCGAGGATGTGCGCGGCGAAGTTCGTAATGGTTTGAACGAGTTTGGCGCCTGTCATTGGGGCCCAAATTTGAAATAGAGTGGATTAGGAGGATCATCTGACCCTACTAAACTAAACTACTTCGAGTTTGTGCCTCAAAAATTGGCGCCGCCGTCGTACAAATCGTCACGAACTTGGCCGCGCAATTTGCCGCGCACACCCTCGGACGCACGTTCCCCGTCCGTGTCTTCTCTTTATATAGACTGGACTAGTCTCGTACGCCCCAATGAAAACTGCGAGATCCGTGAAAAATCGCGAGCTGACGCGCATGTATTAGAAGTGAGGTAACTAGTTTTCATCGATGGCAAATACCCATGCATCTCTCATAAATGTAATTTGTGGAAGTTCATTGGTCACTATCAGTATGCCCTAAACCAGACAACATGCACTTTGGTTCCGTCTTTACGATAATCTAGAAAATCACATTCGAAATTTACAGTCGTCAACATCGGTGCTATTTATAAACTGAGGGGCGGCTGCGGAATTCGCTGTGGGACCGCAATACCGTAACGCGCGCCGCGCTTATGGGATTAGTTGCTGCTGGCCTAAATTTAATGTGAAATGAAAGCCACCAGGATGGGGAATGGATGAAAAGAAGGGAGAGCAAAACACCCAACACCTTCATTTGAATGTACAGAAAAGGGAAGGTGTTGGGTGAGGCGCTTCACTCGACTGATTGAGCCAAAGGCAGGTGTGTTGTAAGAACTCCTTTGGAGAAACTACTCACGTTAAATTGGAACTTTAGGCATTGCGCTCTAGTTGAGGAATCGTTTGCATGTGTTGAGGTTTGAGAGTGCATGTGCGGGCACATTTGTTCCTTTTAGGATTTATCATCATTATGAATCTTCCTCTAAAACAACTAGGGTGTGGGTTGTGCTACCCGGGAGTAATCATCGATTGCCTGTCTCTGCTTATACCACAACAAGACTTTTGCTTTGAAAGTCCGACATCAAACTAGCAGAAGTTTTCAGAACTTGAATACCTGTTTGTCGCCCTAACCTTACGGATTATTACCTACTAATATAACCTGCAGCTGTCACCCAACACCTTTTCTGTACATTTCTCATCCTGGTAACTTTTATTTCACTTTTAAAATTTAGGCCAGCCGCAACTAAGCACATGAGCGCGGGTTACGGTACTGCGGTCCCACAGCGAATTTCGCAGCCGCCCCTCAGTTTATAAATAGCACCGTCAACATCAACATTAAACGCCAATGAATGAACCTCTCCACCCTACATAGTACTACTTGAATTTCAATCACTTGCCTATTTGATTTGAATGTACATGCACTCAAAACAGAGCACTGCTTTCACGCTACATTGGAGTTGAACATAGCAATTATCGTATGGTATTGAAAGTCCTACTTTTATAATCAGATTCTCGCCTAGGCAACTGGAGCCTTCCATCACTGCGGTGTCGCTCAATTGAAACCAAAACCCGTTCTGGGAGGATAGAAGCTACGAAATGTACATTCAATGATCAACGCTAATCTTCGTATAGGTTAAATACACATTGGATCACCACTACATGATTCTGGCTGGATTCGGAATGTGGGACGCATCCCAAAAACGTGATGGGTTAGCATTGCAGATTTCATACTTTATCATAATGCTCAATTGGAAATGTCAGTACTGGCACTACAGAAAAACGAAAAGTTACATCTCGTCATCAAATAAAGAAATTATTCAAAAATTATACATATGCTCCTTACTACGTCATCTTTGATGAGCATTTCCCAAAAACATTCGCTCTCGCCAGAAACAAACTCGGCACATTCAAGCGGCATGACTGCCTTGAACCTGCCAGCTCTGCGAGTCAGTGGCTTGACTAAATAGAAAAAATAATTAATGACTAAAAATAAACAGTCAAAGTGCTTAACTACAAAACATTCGTGGATTTTTTAATGTTTTTCTCGACATTCTACCATCGAAGTACACAAAGGCAATTATCCAAATTAGCTTATTAATTGATACTGAAAACTACGTAGCCCAATGGTTGTCTAAACAGTTTCCATCAGTAGTGGTTTACTGTTATCGATAAGATTATAAGATTTCGATGTGCTGGGCATATCATGAGAAGAGACGATGAAAGATGAACAAGATGAACAATTGAGCGGACCACCGTAGGATTTTAACGACCTGAGAGAAGACCCACTGCAAGATGGGGAATGTGCTCGTCGATCAGTGAAAAACTGCGAATGCACCTGAACGAGATTCACGACGAGCACTTTTATACGAGTTCAGATCCGGTCACTCTACCGCCAAAGCCATCGAAACTTGCGTCATGTGTTAAGCTGGCTTTCAGATTGGTTCTCTGCACACCTTGTTGCAACAGTACAGAGCCGGAAACAAGAATGTGCAGTATGACCCTCGACCCCGATGTCGTGAAATACCTGCATATGTCATGCTTATATCAGTGAGTAGTGTATCTTTACAGTATTTTTGTAAAAATTTCCAGAACATTCGAGAAAATTCACGATTATTGGCAAGTTTTCTGCACGCGGGTACTTCCCATTATGGAAGGGGATTATTACATTAGGAGTATCGTTTGAATTTGTTCACTTTCGAGGCAGAGGAAGATTTGACGACAAAAGGGCTGTTTCGGTAAGATTTCAGTTTTTAAATTAGTACGTTCTACGCCTTCAGGAGAGAAAGTCAAGCGCTACCTATTGGAATATACATATATAGGTTATGCTATCTTGGTGATTTTCTTTAAAGACGAATGCCAGTCAAACAAAAAATATTGAATTTTGTTAGGAAGCAACACTCAACAGAAACCCCTTTTAAAACTGACCAGCATCAGGCGGTAGGTGGAGGGCAACGAGCAAATCTTTGCTGAGTCCTTTGTAATCTCCAACTTGTGGAGTGATGGTTATGTTCATTTTATCATATATAGAACCGGCAAAATACGATTCGTTTATCGAATATCTGAACGAAATTGGAAGAATTCTGTAGTTAAAATGTATTCAAGAGTAGCTGTTGTTTACGACTGGTTGTTATTTACGACCATGCACATTTTATGTTTTGGAATAGCTATGGAAGATTTGTAAAGAAATGTTTAACGATGAGTCCGAGAGTTTTCAACTTACACTCTATATGTGCCATCATATTTGGGTACTTCAACCTTTTCAACTACATACGGATACACTTCTGTTCGCAGCGGTCTCAACAACTCCATACTAAAACGATAGATACAATAGATAGTGCCACAGATAGCAAGATTGCCTATAGGAGAATAGGGACAAAGTATAAACAGGAAAAATGAAAATCTAATTCACCTGATTTCAAAATAGGTGATTAAATTATCACCCTCCACAAAATCTGTAGTTTGGTATGAAATATTGATCCTATTGTCAATTCTAGCGAATTCTTTAATACTGAGAATTCCAATAGCAGGAAATTCAACGCCTTAAAAATAGTAACAGCGATGCAGATCTGCCAGCCATGAGAATTCATTCGGTCTTACAATCATCGTTCATAATTGAGTTTGCAAGGGATAAAAGGGACAGGCACTGGCGACATGAACAACAAACAGACGCGCGCCACTTCCATTTTTTACGGCGTCGACGGTGTTGACAAGCTGCTTACCCGACTGCGATTCAATGTTTCAGGACCTATACAAGACTGTCGTAGCGACAACTACAGAGATTGATCACTGTAGCGACAACAAATAGCGGTCAATAAGGTAATCGATCACAAACGAAAACCTGTTGGTAGCTTGCTTGGAAAATTTGATAATGTTTCTTGAAAAGTATGCCATCTCAATATCTTTGAATAGTTATGGAATATTATCATGTTCCTGTTGCGGCAATAGGAATAAAGGATATCGAAGCACATGAAAAAGCATCGAGCTTTTACTCTATTCAAGAATTGAGGTGATGTAACGCCCAGAACGCAAGGAATCTATCATAGGAATAGACCAAAGATCGGATTTCTAACCAATATCCGCTTAAATCAATAGGCCTTCTATTTTCACCAAGTTGGTCAATCAGTACCCGATTGAATCTGTGAGGACTGACTTGTATGTCGGCTGACCACATCCCTGCCGAATGAGGACGATTAGTATAAAAGAACAGAAGGTATAAATTGCCGTCAAACATAAAAACACATCCCCCACGTTTGCGAGCGCCTCGCCCGTCACGCACGCAGCCCCGCTAAAGTCATGCTTGACTGGCGTAACTTATTCCTTCTTTCAACATCAGTCGTGCTAGCTGCCATCTTAGCCAGATACTGTCGCCGTGCCCCACAAACTTCGAAAGGTCAGGTACAAGTTGAGATTTTTTGCGCATGCCCGCACACCCTAACGACGGAGCAGTTCTGGCACCTGTCATCAGTATTCCCATCCTGCCGTCTGTACTCCTCGCAACTTTGAACCCTCTAACAATAAGTCTAGGAGAAGAGGAATCATGAAGTACCGCTCAAACAAACTTGCGTACATCATACTATCCTCTATGTATACAGAGTGACCTATATGAAGTGTGACGGGCAATAAAAAAAAAACAACTTATGGGCTTCTTGGTTGGAAGAAGCTGTGATATCTTGGGCGGAAAGGAACGCGATGGACGTCAGCTGAACCTTCCACAGGGTTGGGCACCAGCCCACAGCGCAAAGAAGATGCTGCAATGTTGTGAAACCACGCTTCCGGGTTTTTGAGGCGAAGCAGTTTTGACCTTCAAATTCCCCTATCTCAATTCTTTGGATTTTGCTGTATTGACGATTCTGGAGCAAAAAGCCTGCGATTTCAAACACAGGTCCTAGGAACTTCTGAAAGAAAGTTCTCTTGTAGAAGCGTGGGATGAAAGTGATTGCGCGCATTCTTGAAAACTTCCGAAAGAGGTTGGGTGCTTGCATTAAAGCGAAATATGGTCATTCTGCATGCGAGATGTGATATGCTGTTTACAATTTTGTGATGATTGTGTAGGAGTAATCGTTCAGTATTTGGGTTGATCTGTATAATTTTGATGCTACTTTTCTGCGTCACACTTCATGCGGGTCACCCTGTATATATAAAGCGCTAACTTTGTGTGTCCGTTTGTATGCCCGTTTGTGTGTCCTCGCAAAAGTCACGTAGGCACGATCAAGAGCGTGGAGAACACGTGGTGGGGAGGTAGATCACACGCTAACCAATTTTTTCAGTTGAATAATGTTCGGGGCGTTAATCCCGTCAGATGGATCTCGCGCTTTTGACTTCCGTTCAGAATCGTGTTGGCGTATTGAATGCGTATGTGGACTATGCAATGACTCGTGGTGGCCGGCCGATGTACAAGTCAATGCTTTTCTGCACCTCCGCCCCGCAATCGCAATTTCTTACAATCAAACTGGAAAGACATTTTCAATATAAGTGTAATGACAGCTACGCTCTTTGAAGGATATTTTGCTCTTGAGTGCTTAACTCTAATGCGCGATTTCTAGAAATGAAACTAAGGGGGATTTTAGGTGGAGCAGTGTCGTTTATACGGAACATGAAGATGTTTACCTCTTCTTCTCGACTAAGATCGTAGATGAGCGGTTGTGGACCCGTAGAGTTCAAATTTAGTAAGAGCACAGGACGCAGAATCTGAACACCCATGGCAAGAAGGAGGACCAGACTCCGCTTACATGAAGCGGGGCATGCAAGATAGGAATTTTGAGCCGCAAATTCATAACTCCTGTTCACGTGGACCTAGAGCGTTCAAATTTGGTAGAATTACACTTTTCTTGTTGACAGTAGAACCTCGGCATTTCAATAAGTCACGCAAGATTTGACGGGATCGTAGGTACTCGGTGACAGGAACCGATAATAATTGATTGATAGGAAAAGATAGGGGGCCTAAGAAGGGCCACCTCCTCCAGGTCCTTATCACTGCACTTACCACCCCAAAATCCTAATGTCTCCAGTATTTACGATGTAGCAGATTTGACCTTCAGTACATTCGATAAGACGGAATGCTAGCAATACGATGAGCACATGAGGATTTCTTAATATTAGATTACGACCGCCACTCAACAAGGGTTCGTGGCTTAATGAAAGATCCTCTTTGTTCGAGATCATTTGCCACAATTTTGATCGACCACTAGTAATTCTGATTTTGATCACTACGGAGATATCATAAGTAGATTTTTCTCAACTAGTGATATCTCTTACTATAAATTTGTCAAAGAAGGAAGGAAGCCCGGCGTTAGTCGGTCGAACCGACTGGTACATACATAGGCACGTATACACATACACACATATAGACATACAAGTACACACATACGTACACTATATAGTAGG